ACACCTTTGGAGTGTGGGGTGAGGAAAAGGGGTAAAATAATGTTTGATCTTAGGCAACAAAGTAGATATAATTAAACCAATGACACAGATGTGAAGATACATAGCTCCTTTTGTTTCTGGTTGCCTAGGATTTGGCTGCTATTTTCAAACCACATCTCCATTGCTCTGTCCAGTTTCCACCCTCCTTACTGACCATCTCTCAGTGTCAGAGAGTTTCCACACATAAACTCAGCTTTTATCCAGGATGGACAATTTCAGCAGCCAGCTGGTAGGTATACAGCTATTTTGAGCTGCTTGCTTAGCTAAATTAAACTGATTTCAGAATGGAGAATGGCTTCCTATTACCCCTTTTCCTAAAAGCATTCTCATGAACTACGATATAAATGATAAATGTCAATTCTATAAGATAATGTTATTTGACTGCAATGGATATTTTGCAAAATATACACAGCTTTTATGATGGTGGACTATAATATCAGCCTTGTATGAACTTAAAACCTAATGGAAGAGGAAAATAATTATATTTGTTAATTGGCAAATTTTGTTTCTTGGCAAATATTTCTTAGCCCAACAATCTAGCATAATATATGGCATAGTGCCTTGCATATAGCAGACATGCAAAATATACCCTGGTCAATGAATGCCAGAATTTCAAGTGCAGCTGGTGGTATTAGAAAAGCAGGATGAGACAGTTAGTGCTGTTTTGCAGATAATGGATGGAATTTGGGCCTTGAAACTTGGGATAGAGATGAGTATTTGATGAGTAAACTATTGTAAGGAAGGCAAATTTTAGTGTATTTAAGTGGATTTTTTGTTATTCTGTCTTGGAGTTTTCTTCCCAGGATCCATAGCCACAACAATATCTATTTCCCAGGAGTTAGATATGAGCTCTCACGATCACTGTTGAAAACAGTTCCTACTGTATAGTTGCAGTAGATATAAGGATGAAGTAATATAAAATTATGAGACTATTGCTGGGAATATACCTTCATTGTCTGTTGCTATATAAAGCAAATGGGCACTGGTCAGTGACTGGGGACCCCCTTAGGGGTGAATGCCCAGGCTGGAATGCTGTGAGCACCTTGATGGGCCCCCATCAAGGCTGGGAGGGGGAAATCTGTGTGTTTACCTTAACTGGTCCTCATTGAGGCTTGAGGGGATTTAGGGGAGTACACAAGTTGTGCCTGTCTCGACTGACCCCATAGAAGTAGAGGGGTTATTGCCCCCCCTTCATGCTGGCCCCTGCGAGAAGGGTTGTTAGGGAATGCTGTAGGAGTTGGTGCTCCCATTATCAGCAAACTCCCTTTGAGAAGACTAGACTAGAATAAAGTATGATTATTTAACCCCTTATTATGACTCCATTCCTGTCTTCCTGTCTGACCAGATCAAAAGCGAATCTGCTAGTGAGGGAGGTGCTAGAAGCCCTCCCGTGTCTCCTACTTAAGAAATGGCAGTCGATGTATTTATTTGTCCAACAACTTTCAAAGATTTTAAGCAAAATTATACATGGTAGAAAGAGAAATAATATTTTAGGTGCACTTGAATCCCAGACTCATAAGATTTGGGGCTTAACAGGACCTTAGAACTAGAGGTAAAACTAGGACCAGGCAATTGTGGCTTTGCTCAGAGTGCCAAAATTTATAGTGCAAATTCTAGTAGATAAAAACAACTCAAGTAAGCACCTAGGTAGCAAGAATACAAGTAATAACATAGGATGGTAACAGAGGGAGGGCTTCCCCATGTCCCCAAACTATATACATCCTTGGTGATTCTTCTTTGGCCTTAGCCTATCCTGCTCTTTTTTCCTACAGCAGTCCCATGGCAAAGAAGGGGGAAATTGGTTGATGCCCACCTTCAAGTATATATCTTACCTCCTGCTCAGGACATTTGAGGCAGCTTGGTGACAGAGTATAGTCCTAGACTTCAAGTCAGGAAGACAAGTTCAAATCCTGCCCAGATTAGCTGTATGTGAGTGAGAGAGCTAGGGGGTGCAGTAGATGAGAGCTGGGGACTTAGAAGTCAAGAAGAACAGAGTTCAAATTCTGGTCCCAATACTTATCAGCTATGTGACCCTGGGCAAGTCTGTCTGCCTCATTTTCCTCATGTTTCCTCATAAAATAAGGGAGTTGGACTCTAAGATCCATTCCAGCTTGAAATCTACAATCCTGTATTTTGTGGTACTACTTCCTTCCTCTTCTCTGCCCTCAATTATTAGCTAGAGGTAATACAGTCGACTTAACTTCCTCATTTTACATTAGGGAAACTAAAGAACTGAAGAGATTAGTAAGTAGCAAAGCCATGGATTTCTCTATCTTGGTAAAGTACATACAGCAAGTGAAAAAGGCTCCTCTGCTGTTTTCAAGCAAGGGTTGGCTTCACTCCATTAGGACATCTATAGACAACTTAGAAGATACCAGTTTAATGAGCCTACTCTTTTCTTACTAAAGTCAATAAATAGCTTCCCTAAACCCTGATGTTCTAGGCATGGTGCCACCATCACTTAAACTGTTAACCCAGCAAAAGTTAAAAAGGGAGACAGGGAAGGGAGGAGTTTTACAGGAGCCAACCAAGAACTTTTTGCTGACAGTCCACTCTTTTAGGGCATCTTATGGAAATGCTTAAGCAATCAGTTCCCACACCTTGCCTTTTCTCTGTTAAAGCTAGTGCTCTGCAGTAGGTGCACTCCAAGACTGTTACAGGAGCTTTGGGTCTTTTTAAACAAGGTTTATCAGACTGGGAGAAGAAATCTTAATACCCTTTTAGGAAATAAAATATTCCACCCAGTCTTATATAATGCCCATCTGGGATTTTTTGAGAAAGTCATCTCACAATGGCTATGCACTCTTCAGATGATTGCAACCATCTCTATATCCCCAGACACAGTTTTAACCTGATATCATTTTGTTTCATTTGGGAAAACTGTTTCATTTGTTTACTTCTGCACACTTAAAAGAGGTCTGTCCTTGTTATCCTTTTGGAACAGAGCAACCAGAATGCCAAATCTGCAATTGGCTTTTCAAGGGAAAGTCCAGGGCTTTCTCAAGTGAGATAACATCTGTAAAATATTTTGCACATCTGAAAGTGTTCTATCAATAGTAGCTATTGGGGGCAGCTAGGTGGCGCAGTGGATAGAGCACCAGCTCTGGAGTCGGAAGGACCTGAGTTCAAATGCGATCTCAGAACACACACTTGATAACTTACTAGCTGTGTGACCCTGGACAAGTCACTCACCCCACTTGCCTTGCCAAAAACAAACAAACCAATAACAAAAATAGTAGCTATTATTAAATGTGCTTAAGAGAATAACTTTAAAATCTGTAATACATATTTCTCTCACACTTTTAGAGGGAGAAGGGGGAAAAAAAAGCCCCTCCTCCCCACTATCCTTTCCAAGCCTTCTCTACAAAGCTCTGCTTCCTGACATCTAGGTGATGCAGTGAACAGAACACTGAACCTGGACTCAGAAAATCTCCAGTTCAAATTCTGCCTCAAACTTGCACTAGCTGTGTGACTCCAGGCAAATCATTTAACCTCTCTCTGCTTAATTTTTTTCTCCCTAAAAGGCAGGCTTGACTACACTGCTCCCCTCTATTCCCCCTCCCTTCATACACCCCAGTGGCTCCCTATCACCCCAAGAATAAATACAACATCCTGTTTGGCATTCAAAGCCTTTCATAACCTAGCCCCAATTACCTTTCAAGTCTTCTTACATCTTACATCCCCCTCTGTTCTCTTTGATCCAGTGACACTGGCATCCTTGCTGTTCTTTGAACAAGACACTACATAGCTCAGGATAGGATTATTTTCTCTGACTGCCTCCACACCTGGAATCCTTTCCTTATCTCCACCTCTCAGTTTCCTTCAGTTCCAGCTAAAATTCTGTGTTCTACAGGAAGCCTTTTTCAATCTCTCTTTTGATTCTAGTGCCTTCCCTCTGTTATTTCCTCTTTATCTTTTGTGTAGCTTATTTGTAGTTTTTTGCATGTTGTCTCCACATTAGATTGTGAGCTCCTTGAGGGTAAGGACTGTGTCCTTTGCCTTTCTTTGTATCCCCAGTGCTTAACACAGTACCTGCCACATACCTGGCCATTAATAAATGTTTATTGGCTGACTGACTTTTGACCAACCAGCAGTTTTCTGTGTGCACTGGATAGGACAATAATAACTAACACTTTAGTGGCCCTTTACAAATATAATCTCATCTGATCCTCTCAATCCTTTGGAGGTAGGAGCTATTATCCCCCATTTTATAGATGAGAAAACTGAGGCAGATAGAGGTTTCAGTGACTTGCCCAGGGTTACTCTTGTTAGTGTCTGAGGACAAATATGAACCTTAATCTTCCAAGGCTGTCATTTTACAAATAAGAAAACTGAGGCAGACAGAGGTTTCAGTGACTTGCCCAGGGTCACACAACTACTAAGTGTCTAAGGACTATCTTGAACCCTGGTCTTCCAAGGCTCCAAGTCAAGGACTCTATCCATCGAGCTGAAAAAAAGCCTAGACGCCCCCCGACTGGCTCCCAGGGTTGGTCACTTCTGCAACTGGTCACGCATTTCTGCTCCCGGCCGGCCGTCCACGTGCAGGAACTGACTGGTCCCTCTCCCGTAGGGAAAAGTTCCTCTCTCAACTGTGCTCCGCCCCCCTCCCTCACTGCCTTAATTAATCTTAACAGAATAAATAATGCCGGGCTGTTGGGGGCCACAGCCCCTTCCCCCGCTTGCAAGGGGCTGGGGGGAGGCACTGTCCACTCCTCCGGGTGGGGAGGTCAGCGCGGCCGCGGCCAGGACAGCGCCTTCACCCGCCTCGCCTCCCCGTGTCCCTGTCTCGGCTGCAGTCGCAGCGAAGGCGAGGAGGGTTCCGGGCCGGGCCTTGGGGACAGCATCGAGCCGAGCCCCAAGCCAAGCCACGGGGTGGGGGAACACCGCGCAGTTTGGGACGGAGGGGGAAAAAAAAAAAAGGCCGAGCCGTCCCAGAGTGATGACGCGCTTCCTGCTCTCCCGGTGCTGGGGGCTCCGGGCTCGCGCTCCTCTCCTGTTCTCTCCTCTCCTGTCCTCGCGCTCGCGCTCGCGCTCTCTTTCCCTCTCGGCTGTTGTTCGGTGCTTGGAGCCGGTGGTGGCGGCGGCGGCGGCAGCAGCAGCGGCGGCGGCTGCAGGAGCAGAGCGGACTGCAGGCGCACCGGGGGGCACGCCAACTACACACACACACAGGCAGGCGCTCTGCAATGAAAGACTAAGCGCATCCCCCGGTAAGGCACCCGGGTCATTCCGGTTTTCCTCTTCCTCCAGATGCATGCACGTTGCATGAAATTTCTCGTGTCTTTTTCTCCCCCTCCCTTTGCAACGAAGAAAAATCTAGATTTTTTTTTTCTGTCTCTCCCCACCCTCTCCCCATCTTGTGAGTGATGCCAGTGCAGAAATAAAATGCAAAGCTACCTACACTCCCTGTGCTGGGAGAGCTTTTCTTTTTTTCAGAAATAAAAAGGATTTAAAAAATGAAAATAATGCACCTGTCTTTTGCATATGCATGTTTCATTGCACTCCGTATAGAGTCCACGGTTTGCAGTTGCAGATCTCTTTAGAGCTGGGACTTAGGAGCGGGCTCCTAGCTGCTTGCAGAGGAGGGTCTCCTCCTCTGTTCCTGGGTTGGTTTCCGGTGATTGGGCTTTAAAATCATCCCCAGAGGCGAGAATGACCCCCTCGGGTTCTCGGTTTCCAGCGACTCACGCTGCCGCCGCCTGAAGCCTGGGAGAGTTAGACTGGCTGGTTGATTAGCTTCATTCCAGCACAACCCATCCCCACTCCAGCGCTACTTTGCAAACAAGTAGCAAGCAGCCGCATCAGATACGGAATATATCCGGCTTAATCTCACCGACCTTTCTTTGGATTCTGGGTTTGAGAGCTTCTCGGCAGGTTAATCGCTTCTTTCTCATTCGCCCTTTTACTTTGTAATTTCGTCACCAACAAATATCTGGCTGCTAAAGGAACTGGGCAAAGCCAAGGCGTTGAGATCCAGGGAAAAGACATGGATTAAGTGCCATTTGCTCATTTTGCCCTTGGTTTAAGCTGAGAGGCTCTATCAGGGAGAACTTACTCCCTCCTGTTTTCTCTCGTCCTATTTTTCCTCTGTCTAAGCTGAAATTTTGCGCCCCGCGTTCTGTGGGAACTAGGGGGATTGAAGGCACGCATTTTGGGATCCTTGATAAGACTGAGTAAAGACATTCGAGGGCGCCATATTTTCAGCGGGTCTTGTTGGGGGGCGGGGTGTGTGTGTGTGTGTGTGTGTGTGTGAATGTGTATGGAGAACAGTTTCTGGAACTGGTTAGCAATCCTGAGAGTCTTCAGCACCGCTTTCGTTACACGCGGGGGAGGGAGCGAGCTGTATTCGCTGGGAAACTTTGTGTGTGTGGAGGTGGGAGAGGACAGGGCGCGGGGAGCGGAACGGGTGTCCCTGCAAGGTCTAGCGACTGGGGGCGACGCGGGCTGCAGCACATTGCAAAAGCACGCATGAATCGAATACGTCTCATCAGGCAAGGGACCCCAGGTGCTCCGGACTGGACCAGGGACCCACCGGAGGGAAGGGGGAGGGTAGGAGGGAAGCAGCCGGGTCCAATTGCTGGATACCCGCCCCGCCCCGTTGCGCCCTTCCCTCTCCCCCTCCCCACTGAAATCCGAAGGTACCCGCTCCTGGAGGAGGGAACACGCCCATCCAGCCCTGAGGCTAGCTGCTGGTAATTTGCTGTTGGGGGGAGATGCGGGGAGCAGAGGTGGGTGCTTTATGCACCATGTCGAAAGAGGTGGGGAAAGAAATCTTGTCCCCGATTTTTTTCTGCAGCTGCCTCGAGCGGAGCTCCCTGGAATCTCTCACTGCCCTGTGGAGCAGTGACTGTTCGATCCAGAGGAAGGAAAGGAGTGTGGAGTCCCGGCTGCCGGGACCTCCTGGGTTTCGCGTGGCTGGGAGGGTGGGGGCGGAGAAGGAGAAAGACGGGGGAAGGGAGAGCTGTTCTTGGGCAGTTCGTGCCCTGTGCCCTCCGTGGAGTCGCGTCCCCAACTCAGTAGGCACTTCCAGCCTCCTCGCGAGCTGCCGCCCCCAGCCCTCTTCAACCCTGCGGGGCCAATTCCTTGGACTTGCAGTTCGGCTCCTGGAGGCGCAGAAAGGGGGCGGGACCAGAAGTTGGGGCTTCACTAGGTGAAGGTTTGGCAGGCAGGTGAAGCTTTGGGGAAACTTGGGAGTCCCCCGTGACAAATGCGGAGAGAGAAGGAGGAGGAGGAGATCGTGTGGCGGTGTCATTTTTCATGGGAAAAAGAGTTTACCAGGGAGGGCCTTTTGGTGAAAACGAATCCGGTTATTCCTAGAGGTGAACGTGAGTGACCGGAGGTGTTGACATGGTCAAGGAGGAAGTTGACATAGTTAAGGAAACAGCTTTTCTTCTGGTAGTGGAAAAAAGTAGGTGCAGAGGTTAGCTCCGAAGGAAGATTGTTGCGGATTTTCCGCAGGAGATGATTTCTCGAGAGGTAGCGTCTGATTATAGAAGAAGCTGGACTTAGGTGGGAAGAATGATCACTGATACCAGAGGCTAGCTAGTCACATAACTTGCTTAGAGCCTCAGTTACCTCCTCTGTAAAACGGAGATGATCAGTCTTGCACCAACAGCCTCACAAGGTTATGAAATTAAGCATTCAAACAAGAACTGCCGCTCATAAAACATTCTAGGAAGGCTGAGTTCCTCCAATACGGTGACCTGGTGAATTGCATCCTTTTTTCAATAATGTAGTAATACTGCATATTCTCATTTTTTGGTCACTTGCTGGATTGTGAATTTATTTTTCCCTGGATAAGGGGGTGGGGTAAAGGAGATAATTTTGATTTTTAAATAAATCTTGTCCTTATTTTCTGGTGGAAGAAGGAAAAAGAGAGTCTCAGGGACTGTGGGAACTACAAAATCTCTGTGTTGTGTTTGTATGCAAGGGTGTGCCAGACTTTGTATTTTGCATCTTGTTGAAATACTGCCGTAATATTGCAGTTCTGTACGTGCACTTTGGGTCTTTAAACTGGCCGGCGTCATAAAGCCGGAGAAAGAGAAATTCCCTTTGGGAGCTGTGCTGTAGTGCTAAGGTTTAAGCTGCCCAAGTTGGAGCTCATTAGGTATAGAAAATTCGGTTTATTTAATCAGTTGCCTGCTAACCCTGATTTCCATTGAATTTACAAAATAATCTAATCTATGAGAATGGCTGATGGTCTAACTTTCTAAACAGGCATATGTGCAAAACCATGGGGGCTGAGGGAGGGAAAGAAGGCAATTGCTTTCCTGAATGCTAATATTTCCTCTCTCCTACCCCTTTTTTTCTTTTGAGTTATAGCGTTACAAGCATCTCTACTTGAGGACTTTGCGTTATATTTCTAGCACAGCCTAGCTTTGAAATGAATCTAATATGGTGATGGAAGATTCCATCTTTTAAAATCTTGCCAATTATACAGACACTTGGGACTCTGAAGCTTTAAACTGCTTAATTGTACCTGGACTGTATGGCTGCTTTAACTTCTTACTTTTTGCAGAACCTCATCAGTTAAATTTGCAGTGAAAATTTGCCCTTATTCTTAAAGTTGAAATTGTTTTTTTCTGTCTTGGAAGAAAGAAGTGACTATTTTTGAAGCTGTCTGTAATGAAAAAGTTATTACAGTTATTATCAGAACAGGTATATAGACTTAGATTACATTGGTCTTTTCTGTTTGGTGGCTAAGAGATGGACTTTGAATTTTTTCTTTTTTGGAATTTTTCAAACTATGTTCTAGGGAAACCTTTTTTGTTTCATGGAAGTATTTTGAAAATGGAATTAGGTCTTTTTGGGAAAATTATTCTTTGTGTAGGGGATTTTCTTTCCCCCTATATATTTCAAGTTTATGAGCATTTCCTCCCTAAAATCTAGTTCTTTTCTCTTGTGTCTGCAATTTATATATTCACCTTCAGGTTATTCCTAGGGACTATACCATTTATTCCTGGGGACTATGCCAGAAAACGAACAATAGGAATTTTGCCACTACAGGTGTAAATTTTATTTTAATGTTTTTTCCCACTGTGACCAAGATTAGGAGGAAAATCAAAAGAAAAGAAAATTTTATTATAGTAATAATGGATAATTATATAGTACTTTAAGGTTTGCATTTTGCTTACATTTTCTCCCATAATCTCCACAATAACCCTTTGAGGTATGTACTATAGGGATTGTTATTCTCCTATTACAAATGAGGAAACTGAGGCCCAGAAAGGACAAATGACTTGCCCATGGCCACACATCTAGTGTCAGAGGTTGGATCTAGCTCTCTCCTCACCTCAGAAGCATAATTCTTATCCTCTTAACCTTACTCCTTAAATAATTCCTTTGTTTTGATGCTTTTTAGAATGCAGATTTGGCTGTCATACATTAATTTTTTAAAAATATTTTATATATTTGTAATACAGTATTACAGCTTGAGCAAGGTTCTTTGACCTCAAAACATGAAAATTTTCATATTGTGAAACTCAAGACATCCTAATGTTTTGGGGTGTTTTTTTTTCTTTGACTGTCAAGAGTATTAGGAAATAATCTAGGACTTTGTGACCTGTGATATTCTTTCCAGAAGTCTTGCAGCATGATATTTTTGGAAAAACTTTAGTGTTTTTCCCTTAGAAGAAGAGAAGAAAAAAGCAGTGAGGTTTTTCAAGCTAATTTTTTTATTGGGTATAGCAATTTTCAAGACAAGAAGGAAGCTGTAGTAAACATAGAATTATAGCCTAACTTATCCAGCTGGTGCCTTTTTAATTATGGTGCTTTCCTCTAGAACTTTCTGACCTTATTAATTTTATATCTAATAAGGGAACTAGTGAAAACTAGTCAAAAAACAAACCAGTTAGAACCATTTAAAATAATTAGAATAAATAGAGGTTATAACCAGATGTTTTGCCTAAAGATAAAACATGGTTAAGGAATTTGAGATCCATCAGTAACTTTTCCATTAAAAAAAATCACTCAAAAAGTTTCAAAAGGCAGAAGTTCTTAAAAAAAAACCCAAAGACTTGACTAGAGTTTATATCTCTCCTACATCAATATAGTTTAACTCATTTTAAATAATGAGTACCCTCTAGTTGGATGAGAAAAGGATAGGCCATACTGAATACAGAGTAGAATCATGGACTTTTTGAGCTGTTAGGGATCTTAAAGCTCATCTGCTCCCTTCTGCTTTGGTGGTGAGAGCCTTTATGTGTGGGTT